CAAAGTCATACCTTAGCTGTTTTGATCCCTAATCAATAATCATGTTACAAACAGCAATAATCATCGATCAAGCGTGTCGTGACTGGGTTGTCCCACTCGTGTTAAATATGGAGCGTGTATCTGAAAACGGTGCCAGCGACTTTCTGTTATTTATTTTGGAGCTATTAGGTCACGCTACCATATTTTACACTGCCACGGTCCTTTAAAGTATGCTGTTTCTTGAAAGAGTTGCTAAGTAGTAATAAAGCACTTTAAAAAAACTATGACTTTTTTTTTTTAATTTGTTGTTATCCCAAGCTCTAATATTCATTGCGGCACTCAAAGTTCGTACATAAATCGTTCAGACTAATGAGTCATAGAGAAATTCGCCCATGACTTTTCCTTTGCAATGCTCACTGCCTTTCCATTGCTTTTTTGGCCATGTATTAAGAGACGGTGATTTATTAACGCCAGGAAAATTGAACAAAGCAGGTCCTCCTGCACTGTGGCACCCAGCCTTCCACAGTGTGAATTAGAACATTATCAAGTGTGTTTGCCTCCGTAACACTTAATCACCAAAAGCCATAATGTGACCACAAGGCAGCTAAAACAAAGATTTAACATTTCTAAATATTAAACTTGTTAAGCAAATGCTCAGCAGACAAAGCAAGCACAAACAATTAAAGTCATCAAGCTAGAAATACACACTACCTACTTACCAACACAGACCCTATTGCTTGCTTAAGAAGTTTAGAATCTTTCAAGATAAATCAGGTGGGGGTTTTTTAAATGAAAAAAAAAAAAAAAAAGAAAAAAAGAAAAAAGGAAAGAAAGAAAAAAAACCAAACTCCAGTAACAAGGAGTTGAGTTTCACTTCTGAGAGAATCACTCCTAGTGAGGACTGACGGCCACAGATCCATTCCTGACTATCTGCATTAATTATTTAATGAGTCACGTGACCCTAAAGATTAAAATTTCAATATCTCCCCCAGAACAGACGCAACACCTTTATCTGCGAGCGCAGGGATGCTCGTACTTGGGTCCCCTAATCTCTACTGCCTTTGACAGCTCCTCAGTTTCCAGGGAGAGCTCTGGGGCATTATTCACAAGGGTTTGTCCCGTTCTGCACAGCGAGCCGGGGCAGCTTTACACCCTCCTCCCCCCGCAACTCCAAATGACTCAGTTGAACCCAAATCGTCATTGTCTGCAGCGGGGAGGGGGCTCCGCGCTGCTGCCAGGGGCACGGAGAGCACCAGGGCGGCGTTGCGCGGGCCGCCTGCCACGGGTGAGTGCCGCCTGTCCGCGGGCCCGGGCGGAGCCAGCAGCGCTGCCCGGGCCGGGGGGCGGCGGCCGCGGAGCTCCCCCTGCCCACGCGGGGAGCTCCGACCCCGCCGCACCCGCGTGGGCCGGGCCTGGGGACAGCCCCGGAGCGACACCTCGGGGTCCCAGCCCGGCCCGGCCCGGCCCGGCCAGGCCCTGAGGCTGCGGGCTCAGCCTCCGCCTCCTCGGGGAGGTGACGCGCGGGTCCCGCGGCCGCGCCGCCCGCCCGGCTCGGACGGAGGTGCGGGAGCGGCGGGAGAGCCCGGGCTGCCCCAATGCGGCCCCGACGCCAGGCGGGGGGGCCGGGAGAGCTGGAGTTTCACTGCAAGCCTGTCGGGATCTCCGCCTGCGTGAGGGCTCCCCCCACCCCTTCCTCGTTTACAAACACAGGACAAGAAGACATGGGACTGCAAGAACCCTGGGGGAAAAAATTAAAAAAAAAAAAAAAAAAAGAAAGAAAATGAAAGAAAAGTAAAAAATAAAGGAAAAAGAATCCTAGCATTGCGTAATCCCCCGGTGCAGGATGGCCCTGGTTATTAAATACCACAAGGCGCTTGTCACAGTTCAGCTCCTCCTGTAATGAAACACCAGGTATAGCAAGAGCTTGCAGGAGAAACGGGGATGGGGATCTCGGAAGAGGAGTATTTTTCTTAGTGGGTGGAGGGGAGGTGGGTGCCGGGGTTAACCGAGTGGCGTTCCCTGCTGACAGCAAATTGACTCCGAGGTGATTTGGTCTTTCTTTGAAATATTGACACACTTCCACTTCCAGCGTTTTGAGCTGTGCTCGCCTTTGTGGCCAGAGCAGATAAATCCGTGTGTGAGAGACACCGGGAGAGCGAGAGAGAGGGAGGGGGGGAGAGACATTTAGGTCCAAGTGCCGGATTAAAAAGAATACTGTCTTTAAAGGTCAAGGGTTTGAAGGGTCAGTCTGCTCCTCTAAAAAAAACAATTAATGGGATAGAAAATTTGTCCTCTCGGTGAACTCCTGGTTGCCTTAGCAAAGGGAGCACAATGCGAGAATTTAAACAGGACGATGTAATTTTTGAGGTTATTGTAAAGACGGGAGGTATTGGATGGGGAGCAGAGGGCTCCCAGCCCAGGAGCAGCATTCTGTTCCCAGCACAGGCAGAAGGGGAAGAGAAGGAAGGAGAATTTACCTTAAACGATGATAATCGGCCATGGGGTATTTTTGCAGTCCGCAGTTCAATCTCCAGCAAGAGAATGTACATTTTTTTAGGAGACAGCCAAGATGCTGTGTCTTTACACATGACCACTTTTTTTTTTCCCCAGGAAAATCCTTTGCGTCTTCACAGACTTTTCCAAGAGAATGCCTTTCAGAACCGCTGTTGAATTACAAAGAAGTATTTATTGTAGGAGGTGATTAATGATTCTCCCTAAAATTGCTATTTGCAGCGTGATTTCATTTCTCTTTACAATGGGAGCAAACCAGGTTTGTACGCATAGGCTGCACACGAAAGAAATCCTGCACTGCCAGTTAATACGTTTCAGCTGGAATTTTGCTCAGTTGTGCTAATTTTGGCTCTAAACACATTAAGAGATTCTCAAGCAATAAACCAAATGAAGAGTTACACATTTGTGGATAGCAGTTACCTATATACAGCTATATTTTTTCCCCTTTATAAGAGACAACTGGCGACTCAGGATTTAGCAAACAGCAATATGTGAGCAGAAGTGTGCTTTTCAGGCCTGCTCCTTGGTCAGGTATGGGGACAGCTGTGTTTGCTGAGGGTGTTTACAGCTGCCACCTTCCTGATGCTGAATGTGTTCTGCCAGTGGCACGTTCCATTTTCCTCTGGGATGGTACATATTCCATGGCTAGGCAGGGATGCTGGCGCAACCTATGGAGCCTGGTGCTACCTCAACCAGGGATGATGATGCCCCCTGGTCCTGGTGGCCCCACTTAGGTGAAGACAAGCACTGATTCCAAGAATCCATCTTGTATGTATTTGGGTGAGTAAATAAATAACTATTGGCCTTCAGGTCTTCCCTGGAAGACTTGAGCTCCTTTCCAAGACCTTTCCTACCCAGCTCAGTGCTACACCGTGTTGTGAAAGCCCCAAGCAGCTCTGTTAGCAGCTCTGCTTTGCCTGACCTCCTTAGCTGCCTGGAAGCAGGAAGATGCACAGCCTGAGCTGGAACCAGCTGAATCCCATTTTGCCACAGTAGTTGTGACAATCTCAGTCAAAAAAGCCTCATGAGTTGTATCCAAATTCATGTGTCTACCAAGGCTTTCTCAACACATTTTGAAGTAATCTTAAAACAAAAATAAAAAAATTAAAAAAATAAAATAGAAACAGAAAAGGCAGCTTAAAAAGAAATTTTAGGTTACCGTTCATTTATTCCCCTTAAACAGTGCTAGCCAGCTAAGAAATCATAATCAGGCAAAAATGAATGAATAAACCAGGACTGGCTAAAGATTTAAAGTGTTATCACGGCATGGGAGCTTATTGGCTCCCAGAAGAAGCACAGTTTCTCTTGTCAGGCAGCTGAAAACAGTCGCACGGCCAGCGGTGAAGTCAGCCTCATTCTGTCTAAGTCAGCTAAAGAGAGCACCACTCACCTATACAATGAAGCAAGACCTTTCCTCGTCCTGCAACTCAATTTTTCCCAGCCAGGCGACTAGGAGTCAGGAAGTTTTTCACCACATTTAAAATAACCATTACGTTATTGACAAGATGAATCCAAGTCAAAACAATGCATTAAACTGTTGTTTTCCATTCCTGATGCCAACACCAGCCATGCACAAGGTGGATGAAACAGCACGTAGTGGACTTGTGTTTCAAGCGTTTAATTTTTTTGTACAGAATAATCTTTATTACTAGCATTTGGCACTGTTATACATTACACCAAAAATCCACAAATTGTACATGGACCCAAACTATTTAGACGGTGCCAAATATGAAGACAGCAACAGCCTTTATAGCAATATTTCTTTAAATAAATGCAATAGGGAATGTGGAGAAAAACTAATAGATCACAGCTACTGAGGGGACTACACTTAAAACCAGTTAAGTTACCTTTGATACATAAAACATTTTCCTTTAGACAGCGTAAGGGGACTTTTTCACAAGTCTTTAACCTCTTGTGGACGTGTTCGTTCTCCCATGTTGGTCTGTGTGTGTATACGTGCCTGTGCACCATCACACACACAAGCACGCACAGAGAAATCCATGAACACACCACAGAACAGCGCTATTCAAGTCAATGCCTTACACAAGTGTCTCACGAGCTCTTTGCTTTGTTTTAAAAGTTTTTTATTTTTAACGTGTTCCCTAAAAAAAAAAAAAAAAAAAAAAAAAAAAAAAAAAAAAAAAAAAGAAGAGTCCGTCTTAGGTACAGAGAATTCGTCCATGACAGCATCCATCCCTCTCTTACATCGCGGGCAAGAGAGTGTTTCCATAAATAGAAAAAAATGATGGGCATGGAACCATTATCTATATACAATGTAGACAATCGTCCGGGTTTTGGTTTAAACATGTGCCCGTTCTTGGACACGTCTCGTCTTCCTTTTCTGCTCCTGTTTTGTTTTACACAGTTTGGTCCAAAAGGCCAGCCTCCCCCTCGAGGCAGCTTGAAAACCCCAATAGATAGGTATATATATATATTTAAAAAAACACAACAACAACAACGACAAAAAAAAAAAAAGCCAACCAAACAAAAAAAGACCAAAAAGACTCAAACCAAAAACCGTATTTATAGCGCAGCTGCGTTGGGTGTAGCCCCATCGAGCGGATGGGGGTGGCCCTGTGTCTGTGCTTTGGACTGCTGGCTCAGTGTGGACTGGTTTGAGGAGCGCATCTTTGTGTTAGGCAGTTTATGGTCTTTCTTCCACTTCATGCGCCTGTTCTGGAACCAGATTTTGACCTGGCGCTCGGAGAGGCAGAGGGTGTGCGCGATCTCGATGCGTCGCCTTCTGGTCAGGTAGCGGTTGAAGTGAAACTCCTTCTCCAGCTCCAGGACCTGCTGTCTGGTGTAGGCAGTGCGAGACCTCTTGGGCTCCCCTCCGTTGTAATTGGGGTTGACTGAAACGTGCACACACAGGCACACACATACACACGCGGAGAGGAAAGAAGGAGAGGGGAAGGGATGGAACATAATCATTATATAATAACTTGACACCGGGTTCACATAAGATACATAAACGGCAAGAAAAATTGTTTCCCAGCCTATCGACAGTGGGGACAATCGAGGAGCAATAAAAAATGGTGATGGGCATTTGGGTTAGAAGAAAAGCTTCAAAGACACATGGCCCAGAGCCACTGCAGGGCAATTAAATTTATGGGGGCTATAATTACTGCCCTAACAGTTTGGCGTCTCGTAAATCTTTTGATAAAGGACCCCGGATACAAAAGGTTTCTCACTTTTTTCTTTTCTTTTTTTTCCCCTTTTTTTTTTCTTCTTTTCTTTTTTTTTTTTTTTTTTCTTGATTTTTTTCCCTTTACTATTAGGAAACGCGGAGGGAGAAGGAGGGGGAAAAAAAAGCCACACACGCCACGACCCATCCCGGTCCCGGGAGCACCCTCCCCCCTTCCCTCCAGTGCAGGCGCATCCCCACCTCCCCCTGGCAAGGGCAACTCACCCGTGCTCACATGGATCTTCTTCATCCAGGGGTAGACCACCGGCTCCTTCCCCTTCAGCCCGGGCAGGCTCTTGTCGGGCAGCAGCGGACAGGCGGGCCCGGTGCCGGCCCCGGCGGCGGGGGCAGCTTCGCAGCGGCGCTGCAGGGCATGGCCTGGGAGCAGGGGCTGGGGCGGGCCGGGGTGGCCCTTGGCGGGCGGCGGCGGCGAGGCGCCCGGGGGCGGCTGCTCGGGGCCCGGGGCGGCGCTGCCGGCGCTGCTGTAGCTGTAGGGCGCCTGGGGGTAGGAGGGTGCCTGCGCGGGGTAGAGCGCCTCGGGAGGCGGCCCCGGCGGCCCCGGCGGCGCCGCGGGAGCCTGGTAGCCCGGTTCCCGGCGCGGCCGCGGGAAGTACTCGGGCAGCGCCGGGCCCGGGTGCGCGGCGTGCAGGTGCGGCGGCGGCGGCGGCGGCGGCGGCGGGGCGTGCGGGTGCGAGTGGTGCGGGTGGTAGCTGGCGGAGCTGCCGGCGCTGCCGCTGTGCTGCGTGTATTCCTCGCAGGGAGGGAATTTGGGCTCGATGTAGTTGGAGTTTATCAAAAACGAACTCATGGTCATTAATTTGTGAAGTGCAAAAATACTAATTTTTCTCGCGTTGTCGTTTTTCTGGGCTCGGCGAGGCCCCTCCCCTTCCCCCCCCCTTCCCTCCCTTCCCTCCCTCTCCCCCTCCCGCTGCTGTCAAGTGCTGCCGCTGCCAAAGTTTGGGCCTCCAGCCCTTCCCCCCCCCCCCCCCTCCTTCCCACTGCACTCCCCTCCCTTCCTCTCTTCCCACCCCTGGAGCGCCTACAACACACACAAACACACACCCGCGCACACACACACCCGCACCCCCCGCCGCCCCGCCACCACCTGACCGCCAGCGCCAATTACCGCGCGGGGCCGCGGACCCCGGATCAGGAAATGGAAGAGGGACGAGCGGCCGCAGGGCAGCTCCGCGCCCGCGGACCCTTGGCGGGGACCGCGCCTCCCCCACGGGCGGCGGCTGCCTGGCGAGGGAGCGCCCCGCGTCCGCTCCGCACCAGCATCCCCGGCTCCTCCCGCCCGCCGGCCCGGGCCGCGTCCAGCAGTCGCGGTGTCAAGCGAGATAAAACTAATCCGGCTTTGACAGTCTCCCACCCGCCCCGCCCGCCCCAGCACTTTTTGTGTCTTCGTTCTCCCGTGGGAGAGTGTAGGAAGCAGTGCGAGGAAGCGGAGCGCAGCCCAGCTGCGCGATCCGGAGGGAGGCAGGCATTGCACAAGGCGTTGCACAATCCTTTTGAACAAGCCCATCTCCAAACGCCGGGGCTGCGCGCAGGCAGAGGGCGGCAGCGGCTGTCGGGCACAGGCCACCGGCCACCCTCCAGCCTCTGTCCCCAGCGCCCCGCCGCTGCGGACCGCGGTGGCCGCGGGCTCCAGGGACAGCCTTGTGCCCCTTTGAAGCTGGGCTAATTGGAGGGAAAGTTAGAACGAAGGTCGCGGGGAGGCCGAGGAGAGTCCTCGAGGGGCTTGCGGGGTGTGAGGCATAGAGCAAACCTGAAAATAACGGGGAGCAGAGGGGGAAGGGAGAGGGGAAGACGGACACGACGGTATCAAACACTTCCTACCGGCGATTACAGGGCTCCCTGGGAGCATCCCTCCCCGCGGAGCAGAGCTTTCTGAACCACGAATTTAAGTCCGTTGGTTTGCCTCGTCTGGGGTTTATTTTTAATTTTCACTTCCATAAGAAATCGCTAGCGCCTTCGTAGCAGTAGCTCGTAAACCCTGGTGTAGGAGCGAGAGGGCACTCGGGCACTTCTAGATTGCTAAAACTGAGACTGTTAACAGTATTTGCAGCTCAGGGGGAAACGAGGCAACCGCCCTGACCTTAGGTAATTGAAATTTGATGGTTAAACTAATTACGCTCTTATTCTAAGGGGAAAAAAAGTACTTATTGAAAGTCAGTTAGTCTGCCACATTTGGAGTAGGCGCGAACTTTTTCAGATTATTTTTTTTTATCTGTACAGGAAAGAATATAAACAGATAGAAATATTTACCACACCCTTAGAGAATATAATTGCTGAGTGGCTAAATCTCATCTGCTGGTATGGGTAAATACTTCTAATATATCAAGCGTAAATATGATACAGTTTAGATCTTGCCTTCCTAAAGATATTACACTAACAGTTACCCTGGTTTAAATTCAGATTATTGTCTTTTGCAGTTTAATAGATAATGGATACATGCAATAAAATTCTATTTGAATATATATTCTATCTAACAAGACACACAGCGTATCGATTTATATTTTATCCACAGACACATAGGCACGCACGTTGCATGCGGCTTGTAATATGTTAGAACATTTCCAGCACTTGGGTATACTGGGGTACTTATCTAAACAATCACTCATTTCCTCCTACTATCGAATGTCTAATTTGTAAAGAGAGTTAAAACACATTTACTTACTCATTTCCAACAGCACATCTATGGAACTCTAACTAGAGTAATAGATAAGTTTCTCTATTTACTCTGCGTGGAGAGGAAATGCGGTTACACACACGCGGTTACACACAGAGACAGCCGCAACTGCTCAACAGCACACATTTGATAGAAAAGGGGAGATTGTTTTATTTAGATTCCAAACAACAAAACAACAGTAAACCCATTTCCTCAAAGAAAAAAAAAGCTCCCATCTGCATGACTGTTAAAAATAAAAGACCGCCGAAGTCCGCCACGATAGCATTTTCCCGGTATAAAGAGATACATGCACACACAGAGACGCATACATACAAATACCTGCCGGCTAGCACCAGATGAATTACACTGGGGTATCGTAAATATTATCCTCGGCATAAGTCCTGAGGCTCTATGGCCGGAGCACTACAGCGGGCTGCCGTGTTCCCACGCCACAGTAAAACACAACGAGAAGTGTTGTCTCGGTTTGTAAGATCAGCGCTATATTGGGAGAGTTGACCGGGCTCTGCTTCATATTATTTACTGTGATTAGATCTCAAAGTTTCACCGTGCCCTTTTCTGCAGGAAGGCTCTGGCGCTTGGTTACAGAGAGAAGGACTCAATTTTGTATACGAGTGTAAATCTGCAAGGTGACCTGAGCTGCCCAGCTCAAGTCTGGCTTTTTCGTGTGGTTCTCTTAGTCTGTGAAGATGTGCTGAGGCAGGACCTCCAAAAGGCCTGTTCCGTGTCTTTCTGGTTTTGTTATCATAAACAAGAACCCAGCCAAGACCACCAAGTGTTATCTTGCACACGGCCATTTCGACATTTTACTGCAAGATTTATGGCTGTAATAAACAATCTCAAACCCTTTTTTCCCCCAGTACTTCCCTTTAACAAACTTGTACCATCACCCTAAGTTCTCAAAGAAAGAAAAGGATAGGATAAAATAGGCCAGCTCCCTTATTTTTCTAGAAGGACTAAAGGCTCGATTTCACTGGAGAAGGAGACTTCAATCAATTAATAAAGAAGCGAGAGTTTCCTGGCCGAGGCTGGCCGAGAATGGGATGGGGACAGCACTGGAATTAAGTTTAGAGGGACAGAGTAAATTTTCATGCACCAAGAAGAAGCAACTCAATACATACCGAAAGAGGGAGAAAAAGGGGATCCCTCTTTTTCTTGTGAAACAGGCAAGCATTCCTGTTACCCTCCACATACGCAGCTAAAACATAATTACCACGAAAGAGAAAATAATAATAACAACGGCAATAATAAGAATAGTAGTAGTAGTGTAATAATAATAATAATAATAATAATAATAATAATAATAATAATAATAATTCAAGTCAACCTCTTGCCTTGCCGGGCATCCTCCACCGAGAGCGGTAGGAGGAGGAAGAATCGCACTAGCAGCCTGGTTTGACTTTGATTTGAACCATTTTGAATATATTTAGTCCCAGCTTTCCCCTCTTGAATGCGAGGCTGTCCCAAGTTTCAAAGTGACCGAAAAGTGACACCGTGTGCATTTTGTTTCTTATTAATCTTACACATTGACAGTCTTTGTTAAATAACAAGGCGTGCCCTTCACCAGGCGACATTTTCATATTTGTTAGACGCGGTGACCTGAAGTTCACCTCGGCCTTGGACTTAGTTTTTCTAAAAGGTCTATAACAGTGTCTTTTAGATAGCAGGGTGCTTTGCCCAGGTCACTTCTTCTAAGGGAAAAATAAGAAAAAAATCGAGGGAAAATGTAAACGTTATGGAATGTATCGACTGTATTCCTTTCTTTGTTCCTGGGAATGATACAGCCCCGAGGCTGCTCCTGCCTCCGCGGATGAGAGCGTCCTTCCCGATGGGCGCTGCCGGGGCAATGTTGGCATTTTTGCCCCAAGTTCAGCATTTGATAAAAGCGATGGTTTCCCTGGCATTGGGGCTCCTCTTAACAACGGGATGGTTGGCGGGGTTTGGTCACCCTGTCCTGGTGCGCTTAAATAAACACACGTAAAATGTGATTTGTGCTCGGATTTTAAATGAATGGTCTTTTGAGCAGACCTTCCACGCCAGAGAGCAGCGTGCTGAATGCAGAGAGTGAAAGGACAGAAAGAGTTCGTCTCAAATTATTAACTGAACTGTCCTGTTGTAGCCCGTTGGCTTTTTTTTTTTTTTTTGGGGGGGGGGGGGGAAGGGGGAAACAATTTAAACAATAATTGAAAAGAGTCAATATTTATGTAAGTCGCGGTTTCAACTCCTTTGAAATTATTCTCATTGATATTTTTATTCTAAACCAGATTTAAAATATGGAATTCGGACCACTAATTGTTTTAGTGAGGAAGTAAATGGATTTCTGTCACCTACTCTAGAGTAAGCCGGTTATAGTAACAGCTTTCATTCTGGGTATATCAAAGACGCATTGTTATTCTTGGAAACAATCCGCCTGCTATTCTCTAACAAAATAGATATTTGGCTACGGTTTTTAGCTTGTTATCAGGCTTCGCTCTTACACCAAATAAATAGTCTGGATGTGAAAGGTTATATACTATCTCCAGAGCGGGCAGGCTCCTTAAACGTGCAGTGCCAGGGCTCGCTACAAGTGAGCAGCAGCAACAACTTGTGAACAGCGTCTGCACGCCGAGCAAACACTTGCATTACACACTTTCCAGGCTTCAGCAGGTACTTTAGGCACAATCTCCGATAATCACTTTGGCTAATCTGATATCTAACCTCTCGCGTACTTGTTCCCAAGATACAGCGCTCGCCTGCCACGATCCAGCTGTGTCTCTGGCAAATAATTCACGCGTACCAGTTACACAGAGGCCGGTGTAGGCTGCTGCCTTGGGGGTGGAAAGGCAGCAATGCGTGGCTGGGGGTGAGGTGCGCTCTTTCTCGGATTTCCTTGTCGCACTGTCGCCTCCTCCACACCTTTCAGGTCTGATTATGGCTATATTCGAGTATCCTTTCCCTCTTCCACCGACCCCTCAGCCTTAAAATTTCAAGCTGAATCCCGTCTGCGATGATGTCCTCCAAAATGAATTTGCTTGAGCAATATTGGCTAGTTCTCCCTGCAGACACGTCTAACCAAGGAGCTAAAGCTTTTACTCAGAGGCGGCACTGGGAACAAAAAAATCCCAGCAATGTGGGAATCTCTCCGC